CCTACAAAGCAATAGAAAAAGAATATACCTATAATATTCTTAGTATGTTCTATATACAGCATTATTGTTTGATTGTTCAATCAAGATTTTTGAGTAGGTACTTTAGATAAATAAGTGAACAATATGAAAATATTCTTATCATGGTTACCTACCTACATAAACTTCTCAGCACAACTTGGTAGGTATATTCTTAATAATTGATACAGATATTAGCCGAAAGAACATTTTTTAGGGTACATTATAATAATGTTCGTATGACAATATTCAAATAATGTTATATAAAGTAGGTTCTTAGCACAATCTTTCAGGTAGGTGCATAGAAGCAACATTCCTAGTACATAAATAGAACGTTCAAAAATGAATATTTCAATCGAAACATTCTTAGAATATTTATTAAACATTCCTAAAAGAACATTCCAAAAAGCACTTTGAGGGAATATTCTGAGAATATGAATGCTCTTTCACTGTTATGTGGGATATCATTAACTTGATAATTGACGGCCGTTTCCACCAACTACATATTTTAGAGAAGCCTAAATTATAAGTATTCCTTAAAATGACAGTTTTCCTAAGTTTTTCATCGAGAAATGTCAGTTTGAGGAATATTTATCGTTAAGGCTTCCCTGAAATAGTTGATGAAAACGGCCATGAGACATACAAACGCTTTCGAAATGAGGTTATGCGTGTGACGTCACCCAATACCTTCAACACTATAAGAAAAATACCTAAAAAAAACATGACAGGGCCCCAAAACTTTTTTATGCGTCGGGCTCCAAAGGTCCTATGTCCGCTTCTGTATACGATTCGAAATTTTGTTAGTTTATGTGATTACTGTAGATGCAGCTTTTATTTTTTTAATATCACCATGATAATATGTAGGTATCAACATTCAATAAAAGTTTCATTTAAAAAATACCTATTGTCTTTTATTTTTACCTCTTCCCAAATGCAATATACCATAATATTTTTAATAACCGTTAGGCCCAGATGTTCAATTTTGGTTCAAAACAGAGTTCAGCTGAACTAGACTGGTACTTGAACTTCCCCATTTGAAATGCATTGCTGTCAAAAATAGCTAAAATTTGACTAATAGCTGACAGCAATGTATTTTAAATGGAGAAGTTCAAGTACCAGTCGAGTTCAGCTGAACTCTGTTTTTAACCAAGATTGTATAACTGGGCCTTATAAGGTTATCTTGTTATGATTATAAATGGAATTTTTGGTGGTCAAAAAAAAATATTAATGGTATAAAGATATTCATCTGTTGTTATTAAAATGTTTATATTATCCCTTATAAGATATATTAAGGGTTACAGTTTAATAACCATCATCAAATATTTATTGACAGTTAAAAAACCGTTTTTTAGCCATTCAAAACTATTTTATTGTGACTTGTTTATAAATTTTTAATGGTCTTTAGGCGATTTCAGTAAATTTGGTCTATCAAAGTAGTAGTTTATAAAGTGACTTTTATAATGGTAACCAGGGATGCTATCAGCACTAAAAAAATTGTACCAGAAAGTAGGGAATAATTGTACTAGATTGGCGACATTGTGTACTAGCTGAAAGCGCGTTAAATTTTGAAATTTGAATACAAATGTAGGCTCTGCTGAATGGGGGTAATGGCCGTTTCCACCAACTGTTTCAGGGGAGCCTTAACGATAAGTATTCCCTAAAATGACTTTTTTACATAGAGAAATGTCAGTTTAAGGAATACTTAAGGCCGTTAAGGCTCCCCTAAAATAGTTGGTGGAAACCTTAGACGTGGGAACGGCCATAAATATCACTTGTTTTAGGGTCGGTTTCTCAATAGCGAGTCACCTGCGGGTTGGTTCTAACTCCAGGGTAAATGTGTCCAGTTGCAATGTTTACCTAGAGTTATCCTTAACCTGGGGGTGACTTGCTATTGGAAAACCCGCCCTGAATGATAGAAATAAATAAATTTCTACATATAGGTATAGTAGTTATAAATCGACTACCGATTACCATGATTCGCTGAATAATCGAATAACTACCGATACATGACACACGTCAAGTCACAAAATAAAAAACTCCCCCACCATCAAATTCTGTGATACTCGAGGATCAAGAACACATAATTTGTTCTGTGAGAACAGACCGCAAATCACCTTTTCAACATTTAAAATCGACGAAAAAATTAACTCACTAGCATAGCCTGAATCACAAGCATTCGATCGAGGTCTGCGCTATTTTCTGCTGACAGTGACTTCACTCGCAGGCCCAGAATTTGATGGAGAGGGAGTTAGGAAAGTATGACACAATTGATACATCACATAACCCAGCATAATCAGATTATGCTTGAATATCCTCGTCAAAAATTGCCTCATATTCGAAACGCCAATTTCTTGTTTGGCTTTAGCCACACCGTAGTCGGACCTGGAACGTGAAACTCAACCCACAAGTAGAGAGTGAAGCGCAGAATTCGGTTACGGTTCAGAGCGAAGAGCGACACTTGACTCGTAATCCAAATTGTACTAGATGTATGAGAGAGGTACTAGCGTACTAGGTGAAACGTGATTGTGCTAGATCTGGTACAATTGTACTAGAAATAGCATCCCTGATGCTAACTACAGCGCTTTTCTGTCCCCCATTTTATACGATATTTTTATTAAGGTTATTAAGATTTTTATAATGGTCTAAAATTAATTCTCTCAGTGTAGAGATTAGAGTGAGAAGGTGAGAATGTGATAGAGAGTTAATGAGTTAATGAGTAGCTTTAAGCTAATCTTCGCCCTATGGGCAAATGTCATGAACATTTGTTTTCAATAAAGACATTTTATTATTATTATTATTATTATTATTATAGATCACGGCTCAAAACGTCCCGTGTTGAATAAATTGAATGATAATCATTTACGAAAAAAATTGAAATACCTTTACGAACAGCAGCTTGCAGCACTTGACGAGCACTCCGGGCTGTCCTCAACATGGCACGGAAGAAAATAATAATTGACTGAAAAATGTCAACAATTTTCAAAAAAATGTTGCACCATCTTGCAGCATTTGACGAGCACTAGAGGACCTCAATTTTGGATTAAAAAATGCTGACTGTCCGGGCTAACATTAACTTGGCCCGGAAGAAATAATTATAGGGATTACGTGTTAAATATCAAACATTTTCAAAAAAAAATTGCAGCATCTTGCAGCACTTAACGAGCCCTAGAGGACCATAATTTTTGATTAAAAAATGCTGACTTATCCGGGCTGTCATAAACTTGGCCCGGAAGATATTATTGGAGATAACGTGTTAATTAATAAATATCATGATTTTTTTTTAGCAGCACTAGGTGAGCATTACCTAATCCCAATTTTTATCAGAAAATCCCGGGTTGTTCGGGCCAAGGGCCAAGTTGATGAAGCTCAATAAATACGTTAATTGATTCTACGAGCATATCCGTCAATTCGAAAATAATTTTTATTGGATCAATAAATATTTACATTAACCGAATTAAAGAAGTTCACAAGTGATGAAATTATGAACATCGACTTATGTACAAGATTTCATTGGCCCAAAGAACTTAACGTTCATCGGACGAGAAACGATAAACGAAGATCGTTGCGCCAATGTTTTTTTTCTTTTTGGTTCAGTGTATTAAGAGCGCAAAGTGGTACTTTGCCGAACGAAAGATATTAAATTTGTTCTCACAGAAATCACAAACCAGTCAGCCAGAGCGGTTTTGATTGGTGCAAATCGCCGACAAACAGTTTTCTGACTTTTCAACCAATGAAATTCGTTCTGACTGGTTTGTGAATTTTGTGAGAACAGACCGTTGCGCGACGCAGAGCAGAGCGCGTCAATATTTTGAGGTTGGCAAAGGCACTTTTCGCTCGTAATTCACACCCACACATGATTTTTTCTACAATCGAATTTTATAAGAAAAACATAAGCAATTCAATGAAACCAGTTTATTTCTACGGAAGCTTGAAGGCTCAAAATTCAGGGTTATTCCTGTGATGATATTAAGAATAATTCCGACTTCCGACCATTCCGACTACAGATTTATCTCAGGAATAATCCTGACTTAAAGTTGGGTTTAATCCCGACCTGACAATATATTTTTTCTATTTTGGTGTCATATCGAAGTCTTTTCGACACTAAAAGTAGTTTCGAAAAGAAGCTCTTTGTGACACTCCTTTTTTACTTATCGGAGGTTGGTAACACTGGCTGACTGATGGCCATCGAACTGTCATTCGCGATTTTATAATAGAAGATTTCTATATTTGGCATGTAGTGTTACCAACCTAAATATATGAAATCGAAATATAAGAATAAAATTTCCAAGAAAAATTTGTTTTTTTTAATTAAACAATCCCAAAATAGAAAAAATGGTATAAAATATTCGTTTCATAAGACATTTTATCGCACTCGCCCTTTAGAAAACTCGCCTCCGGCTCGTTTTCTAATATAGGGCTCGTGCGATAAAATGACGTCTTATGAAACTTGTATTTTAATGTACTATTGTAAATCGTGATTAATTTTGAGAGAATGCTTCGGTCGGGAATAATCTCGACTTACAAATTATATCGGGATTAATCCTGACATAAAACTTATGAGTCGAGAATAATCCCGACTTAAGAATTATTTCAGGATTAATCCTGACATAGTGCTTCTTACTTCTAAGTCTGGATTAATCCCGACTCAAAAAATAAGTTAGAATCAATCCTGAGATAAATCTGTAAGTCACGTATAAAACTTATAAGTCGATAATAATGAAGGCCCTTGTCGATTTCGAGTGATTGCCAACTGCAACTTTGTCTCTCAATCAAAAAAAGCTTATCTTGCGCTCTTAATACACAAATAACTATTCTGCATACCTACTCTCTACTCTCCACACATTTTCTATTTTATTATAATGGGGCTATTACCAACAATTAATTACTCCATAGATAAATAGGTAGGTACTTGATTCAAAACAACAAAGATTATTGCAGTTTATAAATAAAATTATTTACGCGAAATCATGTTGTGATTAATTGTAGTTTGCACTGGTGCATAACAAATTCGTATAGTGGCGTAGTTTTTTTTAAAATCAAAAATGGATGTTTTAGAAGAGCTCAGCGGCACTGAGCTCGAAGAATTAGCTCAAATATATCAAAACCACAGCCATGATTACCCGCATTTGCACAGTTTTTTGCAGTGCTGCCTCAAATCGAAAAAACTGCAACTCGACCACGTTCAAGTATTCTGTCCAAAAAACTGGAGACGAAATGGTACTTTTGTAGCCTCTATGCCTCGCCATGGGCACGACATTGTGTTGCACAGCCTTGATCCAAAAGGTACCGATTTATTGGAGGCCCTGAAAAAAACTAAAAGGTTTCAATACACTAGAAACCCCAACAGGAACGTGACAGTTTTTTTTGCAGTGCATGAGAATTTTATTGGGCCAATTCACAATCTACTCGTGCAACAAAAATGCGAATTATTGCAGGCAAATCTAACAAACCTGTGGTGTTTAAGGCAACAGGAGGGAATTAAATTTGAGATCAAGTAAGTTGAGACAGTTCCAAAGAGAAATTAACTACCTATATCCTTTTTTTTTCAGTATAGCTTCTGAAGCTTATCTCAAAAAAGTAGAAGCAAAAGACGTGCCGCTGATAATGAGTTTGTGGGAACATACTTATGCGGCTGCAACCCAGAAAAGGCTCAATTTTATTAAACTCACCCCCGGTTATGGGCTTTATTTAAAATCTAACCATCAGCTAGTTGCCTGGGTGACTTCATCTTGTCTAGGTAAACATATAGGTATTTCGTGTTTGATTCAAGCCACGTTTTTATTCCAGGACAAATTGCCAGTCTTCACACTTTGAAGGAGCACAGAAACAAGGGGTACGGCACCGTCGTACTGAAGGCAATGATCAAATCGTTGGCCGAAAATGGTTTTGATGCTTGTGCGACTGTGCATATTGGCAATACAGCCTCCGAAGCCCTGATGAAAAAGTTGGGATTCAAAATTATAAATAGGTGTCGGTTTTTCGATGTTCATAACAAGAACTGAATTATATTTGAATAAATGTCGTTAAAACAGGACTTAGTAAAGCGTGAGTTATCAATCCGTAAGCCGATAACGAGTTTTTGAAAAACAATTTATTCACTAAATTTACAATACACGGAGTCACTCATACGCCGTTACACATGTTTTTTCCATAGCGATTTAAGGTAGGTAGTTCACCTGTACATACAGGTACAGGTGCTTATAAAGGTGATCCTTCTAAATATGAATGTCATAATTTGAATTAATTCTGCACTACTCAGAATAAAGATTGTTTGAAAATAAAATATTGCAGGGTGTTCCACTAAGGTCGAAGAGGTACGTTATTATGGAAACCATAGACCTTACGGCATCGGGATTTTTTTCTTCATCACTAAATCGGCCAAGAGAAATTGATGGAAATTATTTTCAAGTTTCTAAGATGGCCGCTAGGGGGTGCAATCACGATGATATAACTAAAAATTCAAATTTTCTCGAAAAATCGCTATATCAAGGTACTGTTTTAACAACAGAAATCAAAAGTTCGTTAATTTTTGCGCCAGTTTGCTTATTAGCCTTTTTTCGTATCTTCACTAATAAGGGTGGGGGAAGCTGGGGAAAAAATAGTTTTAAAAATTGCTGTATCTTCCATACCCCTTATCCAAACTCATTCAATTCGGGCTTATTCGAAAGAGAATTTCATTGTTATTAAGAGCACCACTTCGTTCGGGGTCGATAGTTCCCACCGCGTCTTCTAGAGGGCGCTATTTAACCAAGATCCAGTTTTTTTAAATTTTCTGGAAAAATCCAAATGGCATGATATATTTTTTTATAACTCTGCTTAAAGAGCAAAAAATTATCTACATTTTGGCGCAAACCGCAATCCGATATCTCCATTCGTTTTCAAGTTATTTTCAAATAACTATTTTAATCGAATATCTCCCTCCTGTCATTTTAAACCAATCAAAAAATCTCATTTTGTGGTCAAAAATTATTTTCAAGTGGAAAAATTTCAAGACATGACATGAAAACAAAATAAAATACTCATAAATGTTAATAAATCAATAAAAATTTATTGTTTTTCTCAGTAAGGAAACATTCTTAACAAAAACCACTCGTGCTTCTAATTTTTCCTATCGAAAAATCTAAAAAACTCGTTTGCAAGTATAATTTGTTTACCAAAATACTGGCGTGAAATTTTTTTTATCTATGAGTATGTGGAAGGTAGCACTTTACAGCACATATGCGGTAAAGTACTTGAAATACAAAAATATTGACACTCGAAGCTGAAATTTTGTACCAACACATGCCGAAAGTGCATTTACCGCTCTTGACGCCATGACAAATGCTGTCGCGTGCGGTAAAGTATCACTTTCCGCACTTGTTACGTAAATACCTATTATAAGGCTCGTACCTGTTATAGTTATTCACCTAACAAATGAGGAAAGTGATACTTTACCGTACGCAACGGCAGTTGACCGAACGACGCGAAGCGGAGTTCGGTCAAGCCGTTAAGGGCTTTACCGCACGCGACAGCAGTTGTCATGGCGTCAAGAGCGGTAAAGGCACTTTCGGCATGTGTTGGTACAAAATTTCACCTTCGAGTGTCAATATTTTTGTATTTCAAGTACTTTACCGCACGTGTGCTGTAAAGTGCTACCTTCCACCCACTTATAGATGAAAAAAATTCACGCCAGTATTTTGGTAAACAAATTACTTGCAAACGAGTTTTTTAGATTTTGCGTCAGGAAAAATTAGAAGCACGAGTGGTTTTTGTTAAGAATGTTTCCTTACTGAGCAAAACAATAAATTTTTATTGATTTATGAAGTCTGTGCATCCAGAGGTTACCCATAAGTCGTAAAACACAGGGCTGACAATAAATTAGTACAAGACCAAGTGAACAAATTTACATGTTCCATAAAGTCCTTTTTCACACCAATTTTGATGTTTTTGAGTTACCTACGTCGAAAATAAATGTCTATAGAGTACTTGCCTATTTAAAATTTACTTCATAAAAAAATAGTACTTGACAAAATAGGGAATTTTCATATTTCTCAAATTATTTTTTTTTAGATACTTCTAGTCATCAGTTATAACATAATTTTCTTTTTTTCCATTTTAATTTATACTCTCACAATAAGCTAAACGTCCGCCAGGCTGTCAAGAATCGATCGCGGAAATACTAGAATCTAGCGAATTATTCTACTTTAATCTGGAAAATTAGATTATCGTGTGTATTCTAGATTTCACAGGAATAGATTTAGGGATATATAAGAAGGCCAGCATTGGTTTGTAAGTTAGTTTCAGTTCGAGTGTGATACGATTTAAATAGTGATTGTAAAGAGTTTAATTGTTGAGTTTGTTAATAAAGTAATTAGTGTCAGTCAGAGTGTTTTGTTAAGTGGAATAAATTATTGCTGTGTTAATTGAACTTTGATTTTTGGAATAAACGAAACGAACAACGAACCCAAGATTTTTGTCAGCAGGTAACCCAAAGCCGCGACAGTGGTGTCAGGAGTGGAATATAAAGGACTGCAGAGTGAAATCCAATTACGGAAGTGCGGGGACACTAGTGTAGTATAAAAACTGAACACTAAGTGAACACTGGGACAGTTAGTGCAGTGCAAATAGTGACAATCACAAAAAGAGACTTAACCGATCGTGTGAATTACCCCGGAAGTGACTCTATACCCGATTTAGACTGTGATAGTGAATCTTCGAGTGAGTTCTAGAAAATTCTATTTGGAAACTAAGGGAGATATCGAATTTGTGACTTCGCCGACGTATTCGGAACATCAATCGTCATTCAGAAGAGGTTTTTCGAGGAGTTTCGGGAAAATTCTAGAACATTCTATTTGGAAACCAAAGGAGATATCGAAATTGTAACTTCACCGACGTATTTGCTGTATCAATCGACATCTAGAAAAGAAGTTTCAAGAAAATTCCAGAACATTCTATTCTAGAATAAAGCAAGTTATCCAATTTGTGACTTCACCGGCGTGTTTGGAACTTCGAGCAAAGACCAGAAAAGATATTTGAAGAAAGTTCGAGGGAAATTCTAGAACATTCTGTATATGCCTATCAAAAGACAACAAGCCAAAATGGACGAACAAAAAGTTGAAGAACTTCTGCGCAAAATGTTGGAACTTCAAGAGACCAAACGACAACAAGAAAAACAAGACAAAGAAGCTAGACGACTACAAGAAAAACAAGACGAAGAAGCCAGACGACAACAAGAAAAACAAGACGAAGAAGCTAGAAGACAACAAGAAAAACAGGACGAAGAAACCAGACGACTACAAGAAAAACAAGACGAAGAAGCCAGACGACTACAAGAAAAACAAGACGAAGAAGCTAGACGACAACAAGAAGAGGCTAGAAGACAACAAGAAAAACAAGACGAAGAAGCCAGACGACAACAAGAAAAACAAGAAGAAGAAGCTAGGCGACAACAAGAAGAAGCTAGGCGACAACAAGAAGAAGCTAAGCGACAACAAGAACGGCAGGAGGACCTTGGAAGACTACAGAAAATATTCCAAACCATACAAGGAACTGTCGCTAACCTAGACCAGAAGATTGAACAAGTTAAAGACGATGTGCAAGAAGTTAAACACGACGTTCAAGAAGTAAAAGCTGAAGTCAAAACCGATGTTCAGCAATTAAGACAAGAAGTTGAGGACCAAGTTCAAGCACTCGAAGAAAAGATGCGTAGATTAGAAATACAGTCCATCAATTCAGCTAGTGTTGGAGCATTCTCCAGTATGAAGATAAAACCACCAACTTTCGACGGCTCTACGTCCTGGACCATGTATATTCGACAATTTGAAGCTGCTGCAAATACCAACGGATGGAACGATCAAGAAAAAGCTACAGCACTGATAGTGGCGCTACGAGGACCAGCCTTAGATCTTCTTCAGTCCATTCCTTCAATCTACCAACAGAATTACCAGCATCTTAGTCAAACTTTAGAACTGCGCTTCGGAGACCATTACAGACAAGAAGTATTCAGAACTCAAGTTAAATCAAGAGTTCAAAAACCCGACGAGAGTCTACAAGAATTCGAATCGGAAGTTAAAAGGCTAGTGAGTTTGGCGTTTCCTGCAGCTGGGGAAGACATGCAGGAATGGATGGCAGTATCTGCGTTTATTGATGGTCTCAGAGATTCGAAGATCCAGGAAAACCTAAGAATGTCCAAGTTCAGACAAAGTAGCGAAGCCCTTGTCCGAGCATTAGAACTGGAAGCAATCTTTGGTGCCTCACGACCCAGAATACGAGCAGTGTCCATTGAAGACCCAAAAGATAAACAGTTGTCAAAAGAGGATGGTAGCTTCGAAACTAAAATGAGTAATTTCATGGAGAGAATGGAGAAACTGTTACTAGAAGATAGAAAAATGGGAAACGATTCCAGACAAACACCAACCCCGAGAAACCGAATAGAGTGCTACCGGTGCCATAAACTTGGGCATATTCAACGAGATTGTAGAGTGAGGAGGTCCTCTCCATCAAGGGATCGTTTCCAACGCTTTTCGAGATCGAGAGACGCCAGCCCTAATAACAGACAGGGAAACGAGAACTAACCAGTATGGAGGGGCGAATGCTGGTTAGTAATGACGAAGCCCCCAGGGTTGTTTACATAAAATCATTGGGCAGTCATTATAGAGGATTAAAATTCGAAGGACAAATTAATGGAGAATTGAAAACCATTACTTTTGATACGGGTGCTGAAGTTTCCATAATTAAAAGAACATTAGTCAAGTCTCGGGCAATCCAACCGCTCACTAGAAACCTGTCGCTACGAACAGTCACCGGCGAATCTGCAGCAGTTCAAGGAGAAGCTATGGTTGAGCTCACTTTTGGATCTACCACCTTCAGGCACAAAACATTAGTCGCCGATATAGAAGATGATTTTATTTTGGGAATGGATTTGATCGGCCAACATGGTTTCTCTTTTGATCCTTCCATGAACATCCTTAAATTTGGTAATGAAGAAATTGTCCTAACAACACAAGAAGAATCCGATGCCGTTAAGATCCTGGCCACAACCCCAGTGAGGATCCCTGGAAGTACTGAGAAGATCATTTGCGGAAAATTAGAAACAAACCCTGGGTGTTGCGTTGGGCTAACACGTAATTTCATTGGAGATAAACCAGAAAGATTTCTTGTTGGAAAGACCCTAGTAAGAACAAATGGAGACATTATGATAAGAATTGCCAATGTTTCTTCCGAAACAGTAAGAATAAAAGAAGGAGACATTATTGGAGCTCTCGAACCAGTGAAGCAAATATCGAACTGTGACCTACCAGATAAGCGACATTTTGTGAAATCCAAATTAGAAACAGACACCTTGATGCAGACCTTGGCGAAATCATGGAAACATCTCGATC